CTGCGCGCCCCTTTTTTTTTTTTTTTTTTTTTTTTTTTTTTTTTTTTTAAATTTTTTTATTCTCTTATATGTTTTTATTGTTGTTGTTTCTCTTCGGCTCTCACCCTCTTTATATTTCCTTACCTCTTTGTAATTGGTAATAATAATAATTCACGGGTGAATAATACAATGCGCGCTGCTCGTAAGACAGGGAGAATATTTGGATAGCCGCGATCCTCGGAAGAGATTTAATGCCTTTAGGCATATTCCTTTTTACACGTGCAATAAGTCCCGTGCAAATAAGCGCCAGAGTCAAGGTCGGCTCTGTCGTTGTCCTCGTTTTAATGTGTCGTGGAAATGATGTATACGCGCTTACCATCGAAAGGCACTGCCAATAATCTAACAAAAAGCCAACAAAAGATGGAGCCATAGACGTAGACGTTTTTAATGTACTACGTAATAGCACTTAGCGACAGCTATTGCTATGCATCTAAAATTCCCCCTCCCCTTTCCAATGCTAAAAAAAAAGAAAGACAAAGGCATGGATTTTCTAAGCTAATTTGGATCTTTATCGTATGTCTTACAAATTGTAGCATTTAATTAACGCTAATATCATTAGCATTACAGGTTAACTTTCTTGGAGGAACATTGGAAAATAATGCCGAGCATCCGTGGCATGTCCTGATAATTCGATATCCAATTTCTCATGAACCTTATGAGCAACGCGTCTTCCTTAACGAGCCTGCGATTTTAAATAGATCGAGACGCTGTTGACAATATCGTCATTAATCACATTGAATCAACCGATCTCAAATCGGCCTAATGTATACGGGAATAGAGCTCTTTTCTATACACGTGGCGATGCTTAAAAGCGATTGAGATCGTCAAATTCAGCGTAATCACTGCGGACAACGTCGGCCGCATTATAACGTCGTGAACTTCCAATATTATAGTTCTTGACGAGGGCTTCGTTGTTGGACGAATAAGACACAATAACGGGGCGTATGCTACAAATTCTTTTGGCAAACTGATTCCTTTTCAGTCGTCTAGCTGTCGAACTCGAAAGGCTGCTCGCCGACAACATGCGATAAAATAGAGAATTTTAATTTTAAATTCTGTAGATCTTTACAACAAGATAATTTATATATGTGTATATATATATATATATATATATATATATATATATATATACATATACATTTTTTCAATCATAATTATATTCATTCAAAATGTCTTCAAACATCATTTTATGCTTTATGATTTTATTTTTTTCTTCTTCTGTTTAATTCACCTTTAGAAATAATAAGTATCAGGTGTATCGCCATTAAAACAACAATTTCAGCTATTTCACTTGGAATAACCTATGTTTTCTTACTGCCTATAAAGACGCGGCCTTAAACATTTTTAACGCGCCTATGATATTTTATATTTATATATTATACGCTCCTATTTTATTTTGTCTTTATTGTATTAAGCATGTCTATTCTGGTGAAAATTGAATTACACTCGTCCTTACGTGTCTCTTCGATCAATGATAAATAAAATGTTTTTATCCATTCAATGATCATTTTTTCATCTTTTCCTTTTTTTTCTTCTTTCATATATATATATATATTATGTCTTTGATTTCTTTAATTGCTAAGCGTATAAACTTATGAATTCCCATCAATTTAATTACGTTTAAATGAAATTGAAGAAAATCAAATACAATTTACTGTATTGTCAATGGATCACTGAAATCAATTGGATTTTCAACGCTGATTAGTTACGTAGCATATAAAATAACCACGATATATACGAGCAAATAATCATTTATTTTCATTTTTAATTCAACTACATGATAACAGATGCATCGATCAATTGAACATGTTTAATGTTAATAAGCAATATCATTGCGTTACGTTGTGCTCGTTTTACGTGTCATCTAAGAAGCGGCTCTGCTGAATTTTGAAATCTTATCGAGCCAATCTTCTTACGTTACACATTTTCAACTTACAATTTAAATAATTCAAGAAAATAAGCAAAAGATCGATTAATAGTTAATGTTTTTTTACAATGTACATAGATATTTATCGAATTGTCCGAAAGAAATATTCGTATAAATTTATAACATTTACCGAGAATACGGTTAGATATTATCTTAAAAATATTTCTCTTAGCAATCACTTAAGTTTATGAGATTAATTCTAAAATACAAAAGCTAGTAATCGCTCGAATGATAAAAGCTATGTTTCGTATGTTAAAGTATTTAAAAATTCTCGGCACAAGTTTAAAAGTCAACGGCGAGTATTGTGATGTAATCGACGATAATTTGAGATTTAATGTTATCTATTGCTACGCTTATATCAACGCTTTCGGCTAAAGAGGCATTATTTGTACGAACGATACAAGTAGCGTAGATCGTTAATGGATTAAGATTAGAAATCTGACATTAACAAAAACTTTGTGATCTAAATCCAGAATCGATGGCATTATTTTAATTTGATGAAACGATACTTTCGGGAATAATTGCTCAAAGAGAAGTTAATTGTCATCGAATCACTTGTAATGATAATAACACGTCTCCATTATTAGGTGTGGCCGGACAGTAAAGGGGAATTATTATATACGTCTCCATTATTAGGTGTGGCCGGACAGTAAAGGGGAATTATATTTTATCGATTTCTTAATCCTGCCGGGTTAATCGATAAATCTAATTCCAAAAATAATGCCACGTGGCCTTTAATTTAATTTAAGATTTAATTACAAAAAATTAGACAATGTATTTGGATTAGAAGAGAGCGATTAATAGAGCGAGAATAGGAATAGCAATAGGAGCGAAAAGGCTTCGAAAATAATAGCAAAACATTGAGTTAAGTTTGATACCAAAAGCAATAGATGTCCAAACTAACGCGATAAGTTCGTCAACGTCTGTGTCGAACAAATTTTATTAAACTAGACGCGTTTGTAATATCCTTTAGCTTGAATTGTGCCTACGACGCACTTCTGGCGCTGAGTACTAATCAGCACTTTGCAAATCTTGCATTAAGTAACTCGGCTCCGCTTAGAACTTGATACTAGATAGATAGATAGATAGATCATAAAAAGGTAATTTGTGTCAAGCTACGCTCAATGGAATTATTACCTTGTGTTTGCGAGTGTAGCCAGCAAAATGTGAAATTACGTATGCATAGTTGCTGATCTTTTTCATTAGCTACGCCAGGCCGTTCTCAGCTCGTGCCACATCGAGGCGCGGTAATAAGATATAAAAACGGATACGCAGCTACGTTCCGTGCGTTCAACTACATGAGTTTTATTTATCTAGAAGCTGTCTCAGGTTATTCCGCGAAATCGTTTAAGCGAGCATCCGCCGCGTTCGCTAAGTATCCTCTAAATTATCAAACTCATAAAAAGGTGTGGATCCACGAAGTCTCGTGAGAGCGGCACACCGTGGGGCTTGCGGGGGGTTAAGCGTGGTGGTGGATTGAGGAGAGGATGGGGAGGACGGGGAGGACGGGGAGGATGGGGGGGGGGGGGGGAAT